CAGCACCAGCAGCACAGGCAGGAGGTGTCCGATCCAGCCTAAGTCCTGCCAGGGCGAGCTCCGTCTGCAGAAATAGGTTGTGCTTGGATTTGCACCAACATCATGTGCTTGTGACGGATCAGTCTTTTGCAAGATAGGATGCTGGGATTTTAACAAAATTTTGGGACACTTACAGCCTGAGTTACTCTATAGTTAGGCCACAGGCATGGGGTCTTGGGGGGGACGTCTGCATGGCCAAGCCCGTCCCCGAGTGGGAGCTGCCTGCAGGAGGAGTTGGGATCCTGGCAGCGCCCGTGCCAGCCAAGCTGGAGCTGGGGGTCCCGTGAGGGCAGGACGAGGGTAGGCAATCCCACGAACGGTTTCATTGCCTGTGCCGGCACGGAAACGGCTCTGCCTGGACCCCGCCTGCTCTGTGCAGCGGGTGACCGCTGAGCTCTGTTGCCCGCCTGGTGCAGCCGAGTAAGTTGTTGCTGAAGACATGAGCAGGTGCTCAGGCCGGTGCTTTGCTCAGCTTCCACGTCGGTTTGCAAGAGCACCCTGCGGATCGTCCCGTAGCAGTGGCCGTGGGGAGGTTTTTGTCACGAGCAAGCCGGTGGCCTGATGCTTTGCTCTGTTGCAGGTGGTGATGCTAAGGCTGCTGGGCAGTCCCAGGGAGACGGCAGCCATCCGGCGGCTGGGGACGCTCGGAGGCATCAGAGGGGACGTGCGGAGCACCGGAGACACACCATCACCAACGGCGTGGACTTCAGCATGGTGAGGGGACAGCCTTGCCACGCGCTCCGGCGAAGAGGCCCGCAGTGCCGGGGGAGAGGGGGATTGCAGGGGACCCTCACCGCTGACACCAGCTCTGTGTGAGCTGTGGGGTTCCCCCTGCCCACCCTGCATGTGTGAGCCACGGGGTGTCGGGCAGGTCCTGGTGTTTTGGCTGCCGAGCTCCGCTGATGCACATGGTGGTCCTGCTCCCGAGATGCTTTCTGTCCCGAGCTGTGCCGATGGGGAGGAGGCGTGTGCTCCCCTGCCCTCCTCGGGCTGGGGGTCAGCCCACGGAGCCAGCGTTCGAATGCACGGGTGCCGTCCCCGTGGGCAGGGAACGGCAGACGCGTAGGTGTGGGAGCAGGGGGGTCTCTGGGCCTCCCAGCACGCTCTGCACTGGCGAGCGGAGCTGCCGGGCTCCGTCCCCTGCCAGGTGTTCTCTGTAGGTTGGGACTCCAGCGTCCTGGTCCTGTTGGCTCCCAAGAGACTTTTTGCCAGTAACTCGGAGAAATCAGCATTGGATTTAGCCGGGCAGGCCAGGGTGGAGGCATCTGCTCCGCTCTCTCCATCCCCGAGTGGAGAGGCGTGGATCAGGTTGCCTGGATGAAGGGATCCGCACCACTCCCAAGCAGGATGGAGGAGCTGCCCAGGCATGTTGCCCACCGGCTCAAGCTAAATTTTCCTGGGAAGAGAGCCAGGACCCAGCCTGCAGGATGAGTGATTGGCAGGACGAGCTCTGGCCGGTGTCAGAGCTGCTGCGCAGGCTGTGAGTGTCACCTCCGCACTTCCACCCCTCGCACCCCGGTGTCACCCCGCGCCCGAGCCCCGCGGGGCCGACCGGCGGTGTGGGCAGCAGCACAGCCTGATGCTGGCCTTCGGGGCCAGGAGATGCTCTGCTGCCTGGCCTGGGCAGGGGGGGTTGTGCACCCATGGCTTGCTGGGCTTGCAGCCGTGCAAGGGGTTAGGGTGCTCTGGGGCTGAGGGGTCTCTGCTGAGAGGTGCTGCAAGGAGTAAGAGATGTCGGTGTGTGCGTCTGGGGACGGGGTCTCTGGTTCTCAGGGTTTTGGTGGCTGGGAGTTGCTGTTTCAGACTGGGGAAGGCCTCTCCTTCCCTGGTGAGGCTCTTTCCTCGGCGGTCAGCTCCGGGCTGGAGCCCGTCTCTGCCATGGGCTCGAGGTCCTGCCTGCTCCTGGCGAGGAGGGGCCAGTGGCCAGCACGTCTCGCCGAGAGCCAGCGTCTCTTCCCAGCTCTGCCATGAGTGCTCTTGCTCTGGGCTTGTGAGCCTGTTTCCTCAACTTGCTGGGGGCGGGGGGGGGGGGGTGT